TAGTTGTAGTTGTTGTTGTTGTAGCTGTATGACAGTTACTAAGAACAACAATAATACGAAGTAGCAGCACCGGCGGCAGCAGCACCACCAGTCGCCACTCGTCACTGCGTGGTGCTGGCGATGGTGCCAGGCATGGTTCTGTCGTTGTGTTGTGACCAAAGCAGCGACAACATCAGTTGTCGCGGTATTCGTAGTTGACAACTTTGTAGCGCATGTCGAGGCCCCGGTCTGACCCCTCACGTTGAAAACATTCAAAACCTAGGCATGATATGGATGCCAGAGACAAAATCCGCCGAGGCCACAGACCTCAGGCGTCTTGGGGGCTAAACTCAATACCCTCAACCTAATCCTCCACCCTGCGCCCGCAGAGTTTCATGACACCTGCTTTCTGCTTACAACTTCGACCTCGGCCCCCCCCCCTCCCTCCTCACCCGACCCCTTCTCTTTCGGCATGTCAGAGTGTTGCTCCGTTAAAATGACTCCGGTACTGGTACTGCTTCTGACCAGTCTCCCTCTTGGCTCGCATGGGCTATCCCAAACAGTTAAACACACAAGCAAAATGAATCCGACACTTAGCATGCACCACGCAATCCGACGCTTAGCATGCACCACCGAATCCGACTCCCTGCCGCCCAAAAGTCCAGTGACACCCGCTGTTGAGGCTCAATTTCGAGACTCAGTCCCTCACAGTCAGGCCGAGGCGGGCGGCGTAGCGTTAAATTAGAAACATCCGATGCCGTGAGCTCTCGGTGGTTGCGGACGAAGATCTTGTTTCCATCCAGGTCGAGTGCCTGGGCATTGTTTGCTTGGAGACAGGCTGCAGCAACTCTTTTCTGTGTGAGCCACAACGGAAAACTCTTGTCTATCTTTCCCAAAGTTTAGTCGCTTGAATCACGAGGAAACAACAGTACTTTTTGTAGCATTGTGTGTGAAGCCGTCGCGATGGAAGCGCTGCCAGAGAAGCACACAGAGAGAGAGCGAGAGAGAGAGAGAGAGAGAGAGAGATGGAGCCGCTTCTCGTTGCGATTGCGGGCTGGTCTGAGACTGAAACTTATACAACTGCTGAGAATGCTTGCCAGCTTGCAAATCTTACTGCCGCACAGGTACAGCGAAGGTTCGAGTAGCATTTCCGAACTTCTGCATAACGAACTGACCTCAGCTCGCCAGAGGCCCGGCTGGGTTCGAGCTGTGGCTAACCTGCAGCAATGGTCGTTAAAACCCATAGCAGAGACCGTTTCACAGTGTCGGCAGTAGTGTAATTCATGCTACGATGGCAACTGCTGTTGCAAAGGCGACGGCGTCCGACTGTGTATCAAATCATCGCAGCTAGGCGAAACTTGCATTGCAGCATTCATGCTGGCTACACTCTACCCTGATTTTCGTCGGGCTGCGGAAGAGTGCCAGCTCCTCAGCAGCCTTGAAGTCTAGCTCCTCGTTGAACAATGCTTGTTCCAACTTCAGCAGACCCAGGCTGGGAGACTCATTGCCAACTTCCATGCACCTCCAATCGCAATCTCGACGCTCGCGCTGACTGCGCTGCTGCGTCGGCCCAACACCCAATCTGTCTTCTTCCACACAAGCTACGACGATGTGACAACATCAGCCCACACTCGGCATGATCGAATATCAGCAAGCAGTCGGATCTGCTCTTGACTCTCACAGGTCTGCGTGTTGCCGCAAAGGGCCAACGTTTAGATGCTTGAGGCTTCGAGTAATCCGAGGCAGCCAATCACTCAGCACTTCGTTTTTTTTCGCAACAGCTACTTGTTGTAGTTTTGTTAGCTATTACCCCGACAACCAAACCCAACCCAACGTCCTCAATGCCGATGGTTCCGCTCGTGTCTGTGTCGAGAATCTCCCACAAGCCCTTGACATCCTGGGCTGCAGTGTGTATGAGGTCTCCAATAAGGTTCGCGAAGCAACTTCTCCTGGCAATGAAGTAGACCGATGCGGAAAAAGAGGTTGACGGAGTCGGCTTACAACGTTGATCTGTCATTTTGCTCCGCAAGAAGCCCGCAAGGGTTTTGACACTAAAAACCTTGCCGCAGTGGGTTTCCCAACTCCTTGAAAGGACTGGGATCTGCGGCAACATCTGCCTTGAGGCTGCGGGTGTGCGATGGCAACTAACATGCCCTGCTCGTGTCGAGGCTCCGTGCGCCACTTGAGATTCACACAAGCCTGCCGCGGGCACCGCAGGGGCGACGGATCAGGTGCCAACACACAAACAGCTTCATCCGAGCTGTAGCAAACTCAGGCCTTGAAGAACTGGCCCTTGTGTAGCATCATGGAATCCCCTGCGCAATGGGCTAGTAGTAGTGCACGTGCTAGTGCTGGTACTTCTTCCAAGATTCTACTCGCAGTATGGATCATCAGTGGCATTTTTGGGCATCCACAGACTGCAAATCTATACATGCTCGTTTTTCAGTTCATCTTCTTTTTGGTCAGCATTTGGCGCATCTTTTTCTTGTCATCGTTCTATTCGTCCCGGAATCCATCGACACCGTCTTAACGTTTTGCCATCGTTTTCGAAGTGATTCTTGGGACAGTTTCGCAGGAGAGGGTCGGAGCTTGCTTGGTCCAGATGGGGAGGAGCAGCATAGACATCAGATGATGGAGAAGCCGACCTGGGTAGTTCTCTTAGTTAGTGTTCCTGTTTAGGTCACCAAAATCGTACGGCACCCTTATAAAAAGTATCCTAAACCCTAAACCGGACCCTAATTTAGAGAACTGCCCGTTTCGTGAGGCTCTCCACACTTCTCGAGAATCCCAGCCCGGCCTTTCTCCCGGCCCTTACCTACCAAGTGACTGCGGAATGATGGACTACGATGAACAGCTGATAATTTAATGGTACCCAGACCAACATGATGTTAGTTAGACGCGCTGACCAACATGATGGACCGACAAAAAACGAAGACGATCTGGCGCATGCATCTCAAGATACTGGCATTGGCACTCAGAGCACCTTCTTTTCACACGGCGTTTTGCAGTTTTTCTCCGCCGGTTCCAACCCCAGTAATGATTACACCCGCGAATGCAACCAAAATAGTTCAGTCTGACAGTCTTCTTCCGGCCTTCTTCTAGACCAGTAAGAACAAGCCCTTTTCCTTACATCCTTCGGCTTAGATGGGCACCTTCTACCAGTGATTGTCGCCAGGCCCTGAGCAGACTTCCGCCATGCTTTTGCCGCAGAAAGCGTTTGAAATCTGCCTGGGCTGGGCTCGGGAGGGCTCTCACAAGGATCCTGCCAGAGGGCTTCGCATCTGAAGGCCCTACTAAGTGGGATACTCTACCATACTTGGAGGCAACATGAGGCAGCTACACTTGGCGACTTGACAGAAAATGGGAACCAAACCCACAAATTGCCGAGTTGCCAAGTTTTCTCGAGGGTCCTGCAACATGTCAACCGATGGCGGCAAGTTGCCTATGAGCCTGCTTTGTTTTCGACAAGCACACTCGCACAGGCATACAGCGATCCACAGTGTGGCTTGAGCTCACAAAATGCAGTTTCTGAAGTGCTGGCACGGTGGAGCAAACTGCACTTGGCAGCAGCAAACGATAAATCGTACTGGTAGCATGTCCTTGGCGCCACGCTTGATGGCACGGACTTTGGTCTCATGCAACGCCTGTTCTTTGGCCTTGATCTTCCGCTTGTAGCGCCGCATGTCCAAGTTGAGCCTTGCACAAAACCCAAGCACCAGGAGGGCATCACGGCTGTGCGCCGTCGAGCAAAGCTTGGTATTTTGGGTTTCGGTACATCGGAAGGATGCTCACGAAGGCGATCGTGAAGCGATGCAAAGCATATTAAACCACACCTTTACACATTTCTCCAAGACACCATCGCATGTCATTGGCCACGATACTAGTCTGGTCTGCGCTGATAGCATAAAAAAGCTCTTCCTCGCAGCCAGCCGTCCATCCGTTGGCGACCTCCGCCACGTTTGCTGAGCGCCAGCAAATCACACCATGGTTGGTAATACTCCAACGGTCCGATAATTCATATCACAAGCAACAAAACCTCCGACTGTGGTCCAAGAGACTAGATCCGCCTCGAAATGGAAGAGATTAATCTTGACAGCCTGAGATGGTGCTCGTAGGGGTGCAATAGAGGTGAGGTACCTTGTTTTTCAACAAGTGTGTACCTTTGTCGGCAAAATCACAAACTACTATGCCGATTGAGGGCACCAGAACCCTTGGAACGACAAGTCAGTTGCTCATCTTCGCAGGCAGGCAGCCTCCACCTTCACCTCCCCTTTTCTGGCCATTCGCGTGAGGCACTCGTCCAGGCCACCAGGGAAGTTGCTGCAGCACCACGTGCGGAAATCTTCCTGACAAAGTTCATGCTACATGCAGAAATATGGTCTGCATGGTGTCTTACGAGCATACTGCATGTCAACGCCACGAACCTGGGAATGCAAGCGTTGTTGAGGTAATGGACAGGTCAGCACAGCGGGAAAGGCCGACGTCCACGGCGCCTCCTGCCTCTAATAATACTCCCACCAACAGCTATGACAGCTATGATGGCAACAAAAATGGCCACCACCACAACACCACACCACCACCACAACCAAGAACAACAACGCTTGCTCCTTGCATGCCCACATCCTAACCGCCCTATCGGCATGCACTGTGCATCCACACGCTCTCTTCACTTTCACCCGTGCTGCTGATGCGATGCTTCACCGACCTCCGAGCCGTCGAACGGCATTTTGCCCCTTTCCGGAAAACATGATCCCACGACCTCTGCACCCTCGAGCCCAGCCTCCCGCGCTTCGCTCACTGGAATTTCCATCAGGAACGCCCGGGGTGGAGCCCGGGCATTGGGACCTTAGGCCGCCCACCTTGCCCTCACCACCTGTTGCTGCGAGCGACATTAAATTGGTCGTCTTGCGAATTGCTACTGCCCATCATAGGGGGACTTAGGGCGCTGACACACCCACCACCGAAATAAAGCTGTCAGGGTGGGGTGGGTGGGAAGGAAACACGGAGGCTCCGGGTACATCCGGGTACTTGAGCCCAAAATGTCCACGGAAGCTGGTAACCGCCCGCTGGCATGCACTGTGCATCCACACACTCTCTTCATCTTCGAGAGGGGCAAAGTGCCACTTTCGACGGCCCGATACGGAGGTCGGTGTCAGCCTCAGCTGAAGCCCCACCTCGCCCTCTTTACTTACATTGGTCGTCTTGGGACTGATACCCATAGGGGGACTTAGGGCGGCGACACAAGCCACGTGGTTTAGCGCGCCCTCACGTGCAGCACAAGGAGCATGAACGGCCGGACTTCAGTCTTTTTCCTCTTCGTGCTCCGCAAGTCAAGCTACAAAACACTTCGGGCACAGCTTGTGCCCTTTCTGGGTAAAACGTCCTGCTACTCCTACTCCCAGCCAACCGCAATCCGGTGCGAGGACCGTGCCTCTGCATGAGCTCGTGCCTCCAGCCGGTGTCTTTGGTGACATCCGCAACCTCGGGCTTCCCAGGTCGCGGGCCACCGGCCCTAGCTTCATCCAGGCTGGGGGTCGGAGAGAGCCTTCCCGCACCAAAGTGTTCCCGTACCCTATTTCCTTTCTGAACTTGCTCGGGTCGTTGACATCGCTCGCCGTGCATCTCCTACTGGCCCACCCCTTGGACCACCCCATGGCCCGTGCACTGCGCAAGCCACTTGGGTACTCAGCGGCCTCACTCGTGAATCAAACCTCTTCATCCACCGTATATGAGTAGACCCTGCCCTGCAATGCCACGTGGCAGTGCTTCGGGACGTCCCCACAGCGGAGGGCGGCAGCCCCAACGTTCCCCAGTGTCCGCGTAGGCCGCCTTCCCCAGTCTCTTGAAACCCTTGAGGCCCCACATCAGAGAGCTCTCCGGGTTCTCGATGGTGAAGGCTAATCCGCTGCCTGTTCATGATTGTTTCTCAAGCTTTTCCCCGGTCCGCCTGGTTCTGCCGTCTCACGGAATTTGTCCTGCACGGCGGAGCCATGTGGACCCATCCACGGGTTCGTCCCGGAGCTCCCCCGCAACCTCCGCCACAGCTCCATCTGCGCCTTCGAATTGGAAATTTTGGTGGCCTTCGTCCCAAAGCCCCAATCCTGGGGCCGCTTGACGAAAGACCATGTTCCAGAGAGTCGCCAGGTCGTAGTCGGGCTCCAGGTTCGTGGTGAAGCGAATCGCTTAAAGCGGTCCTCTGCGGTCACGGGCAAATGCCACACCTCGGTGGCCTGTGTAGATTACCACTTGGACCTGAACCTGCAGTCCTTTCACCAGATCCTCCAGCATCAACAGCGTGTTCTCGAAGACCTGCCACGAGGCCAGCCACGCGTCAACCGGGACTTCGAGAGCCGCACCCCCCTGCCCCAGCCAGTTGCAATGCAGGGGCACTTGAGCCCAAAACCCACGGAGCCTAGAATTCGCTAACCTCCAGGCTCTCAGCCGAGTGTTATTTCTGACATGAAGGTAAGAACAACAGCAGCAGCAGCAGCAGCAGCAGCAGCAGCAGCAGCAGCAGCACATGCAACCAGAGCAACAACAACAGCAACAGCAACAGCAACAGCAACAGCAACAGCAACAGCAACAGCCACAGCAAAA